CCCAAATGTAGGTCAAGAAATATGAGTTCAATATATTAAATTTACATTATAAAATGAATTTTGTAGGGTAAATTATCATGCTAAATTGTATGCAATAACCAATTATTGATTACTGTGAATAGGATAACAGTAGTTTAAAGTAAAAAGTAATATGAGAGCTTTACCCTGCTCTCACTGCAGCCAATGGAAGATTTGATATTGTTTTCAAGGGAGTAGGTTTATGACCTCTTTTAAAGAAATATTAAAAAAAAAAATAGCTTTGAAACAATTACCTAGCAACAGTAACAGGTATTCCTACTCTGGTTAGTTTCAAGCCATTTTACATTTTTTCTTCATTTTCTTTCAGTTTTATATAGATTTTATGTTCTTTGATTAATAACAGTAAAGGTGCGCTACTTTCTTTTAGACAGGAACAAGACAGCTGACTACTATAGAGTATTCTCTACAATAAAGATTTACCTGAAAAAGAAAATATTTTTTTCCAGGGAGAAGGGGAGGGGGCAGGGAAAGATCTTCAGTAAGAGTGAAGGGAGATAAAAGATGCCCTACACTTTGATTCCAATGTATTCAAATTCAGAGTTAGTTAACCAGAGCTATATACTTCTGTACAACCTTTGTTTTGTTGTTTGGAAGGCGGCACAGATGGCTGATGGTAGACCTCCTTGGCTTTAATGTTTTTAGAAGGACTTCCCAGTACAAGAACATTCTTCAAGGTAGCTATTTTATTGTGAAGAAGCTTGGAGTGGGTCTGAACTAAAGCCACTGAAGACAATGGAAGTCTTCCCAATGACTTCAGTGAGCTTTGGCTCAAGTCCAACAAACACATTCTTAATCAGTTATATAAAAGTCAAGTGAAAGGCTCAAGACATTGGAAAAAATGGGTAGTATGGGTTTATGAGTTACAAGAGGTACACAGATAAGGAAAGAATGATAACGTTCAGTTACACTGTGCAGGAAGCAGAGTTAAGTCATACTAAAGAACGATTTTCACTACACAGGTATTTCACATTATATTGATAGTAAATAATTCCATGAAAAACTGTTAAACATTTGTTACATTTTCCAACCAATGCTCTATATCACTGCTAATAAAATCCTTTCCCAAAACCCCTGTGTGTCAGAAGATGTTATATAAAGATAGATGTAAATACCTGAGCTGAATTTCTGGTAGGCAATTAGTGCATTCAGTACCCTTGAGAAACAACTCATTTTCTGATATCGATGCCTGACAAACTCTTTGTAAATTCATGTATGTCACGAACAATTTATCTTCATAATAAGTGTAATATATTTTGTCAGTGCTTTTGTACTTCTTTTTCATATTTTTTTTGTTACAATTAGTTCTAGTAATGGTGAGATAGCATATAAAGGTTTTTATAAACTTATTTCAAACACAGCAAGGCTAGTTTATACAGTTCCATGAGATATCATGATTTTGTAGGTTAATACTTCAATACTAATCTCCTGTTTTCCACTGTGATTCAAAATATATATTTGAGAAACCAAAGGAAAAGTTTTTACAAATATTAAGAAAGAGCCAGAAGGACACAAATAGAGCAAAATTCACATTATGCAGACAGCCTACACAAGGCCTATGTCTCTCAGTTCAGGGTAATTACACCTTCATGATCCAGCAAGGGCACCTATTCTTAGGCTTCTAGCTTCCCAGTCTTCACCTCTCTTCGGAAGAGATGCACATCTCTCTCCTTCCTGAATGGGTTTTTTCCAGGTTGTATAGCTCTCTCCACCTAGGAATTCCCCAATGAAATCAGTCTATCTAAGCAAACCTGCTTTACTTTTCGCCTCAGGGATGGTAAATAGTGTAATTATCACAGTTAAATTACCACACAGCTCTTTCTAATCAAGCATATTTATTCCTGAGGTAAAAGCATTACAGAGAAAACTATTAAAAACAATAAAAGAACCCACATGCATGCTAATAAGCTTACCACCAACCAGGGCTCTGGTGAGTGAACAGTCCTTCAACACCCACCAAGGGGTTTTGCTGTGGTTATAACTTCATAACCACCTTGGTTCAGAACAAGCACACTCATGAAGCTGAGAGCCACTCCTTTATCCAGTGTGGGTCTCTGAAGAGACTGTGAATAGGTAATCAGACAGATAATGGGATTTCTCTTCAAGGACAGCTTCAAAAGGATGAATCTGGCCATGGGTAATGTGCATTCCCTGCCTTCCAAATATTTCCTAGGAATCCCACACAACTTTGTTTGTCTAGCACATTGTTTCAAAGACTTCTTTGAAGGATATAACATCTCCCAGAGTTTATATTAGCCATATCTCCTCCTCAAAGACGTTGCATACAATTGCACAATAATACAAAAACATTTGCATTCTTAATATAATGAACTCCTAAGATACTTAAACTTCATTCAGTAAGGTTTAACTTAATTCATTAAGGTTTGTTGAAGATATTGCAACAAATTGCCATTTCTGTCACACTGTGTACCACTTAAGTCTTGCTTTTAGGATTTAAATGGGAGTTACTCGATACATAGGCTGTGTGTATGTGTCCTCTATATGGGGTGAATTTCACCCACAGTCATTAGTATACTACAGATGTCTTTATCTGGGAGTCTAAAGAACAGCTGACGATTGAAAGGGAGGTTTAATTAGCTAGGTAAATACAAAAATGACAAGCTTAATAAATTAAAAAAAAAAACCTTGACAATTGATTACTCCACTGTTATTTTAAAGTTTCTATCACTATCTGTACTGCGAGTTTCAGAGTAGCAGCCGTGTTAGTCTGTATCCGCAAAAAGAACAGGAGTACTTGTGGCACCTTAGAGACTAACAAATTTATTAGAGCATAAGCTTTTGTGAGCTACAGCTCACTTCATCGGATGCATAGAATGGAACATATAGTAAGTACAAATATATACACACATACAGATAAGTTGGAAGTTACCATACAAACTGTAAGAGGCTAATTAATTAAGATGAGCTATTATCAGCAGGCGAAAAAACTTTTGTAGTGATAATCAAGATGGCCCATTTAGACGGTTGACAAGAAGGTGTGAGGATACTTAAGGAAATATATTCAATATGTGTAATGACCCAGCCACTCCCAGTCTCTATTCAAATCCAAGTTAATGGTATCTAGTTTGCATATTAATTCAAGCTCAGCAGTTTCTCCTTGGAGTCTGTTTTTGAAGCTTTTCTGTTGCAAAGAAAATAACAGAACGCCACTAGCTGTCACTAGATTCAGCCCCCAACTAAAACCTCTCCAGTGCATCATCAAAGATTTACAACCTATCCTGAAAAATGATCCCTCACTCTCACAGATCTTGTGAGACAGACCAGTCCTCGCTTACAGACAACCCTCCAACCTGAAGCAAATACTCACCAGCAACCACACAACAAAAACACTAACCCAGGAATCTATCCTCGCAACAAAGCCCGATGCCAACTCTGTCCACATATTTATTCAAGTGACACCATCATAGGACCTAATCTCATTAGCCATGCCATCAGGGGCTCATTCACCTGCACATCTACCAATGTGATATATGCCATCATGTGCCAGCAATGCCCCTCTGCCATGTACATTGGCCAAACCAGACAGTCTCTACGCAAAAGAATAAATGAACACAAATCTGACATCAGGAATCATAACATTCAAAAACCGGTAGGAGAACACTTCAACCTCTGTGGCCACTCAGTAAAAGATTTAAGGGTGGCAATATTGCAACAGAAAAGCTTCAAAAACAGACTCCAATGAGAAACTGCTGAGCTTGAATTAATATGCAAACTAGATACCATTAACTTGGGTTTGACACAAAAGTTTCACATGTGGGAAGTGCCCAAAGTTATGCACATAAATCTATAATTAGGATTATAAATTACATGGCCTGATTTGCAGAGGTGCTGAGTACATATACCTCTAATTGTCTTGAATGTGGATTTGGGTGCCTAACTTTAGTCATCCACTTTTGAAAATTCTGACCAAAATGTTTTACTTCATAGGGACTGCCTACAAATAACACATTCAGATCTCTGAAGAGGGGATAGGCGGTCTTCCACACTGACTGGCAAAAAGCCAAGCATGTAGCCTTTTCTTGGATTTTATAAGAAAGAAAGAAAAAAAGATAAGAACCCAGCTATTAAACTGCGGGGGTGGCAGTACAGAGCAATGTATAGGATTCTTTCTCTAAAAATGCCTAACAGTGATACTCTAGATGTTGCCCCTTTTACTCATGATTACATTTCAGGGCTCAAAGATGAAAGGAACTCACCCCTTCCTGTGAAGGTGTCACGCATTACTAAGCTAAAGCTGGTGTTACGGGTCTTTACTGGGAGTAGCTAGCTCATACATTTCAAAATGTATGCAAGAAGCCCTAATCTGCACTCCATATTCACAGTGAGGAACAAAGTGAATTAGTCCCATTAGCTTTAATGGGAACCACTTTTTGAGTAATGTGAAAGTCAATGTGGATAAGGACTTCAGAAGTGAACCTGATTAGATTTAAAATATGGAAGTTCCCCTACTGACTATACAAAGTGTAACAGGCTGGCAGAACAAATTATCCCATTGTTCACTGGTATCTATGCTCTTGGGAAAGTGTTATGAGGGTTTGCTGACTCAGTGATGTTGCTGACTCATGGATATACCTGAATATAAGAAATATGGGAGTTACCCTCACACAGAGAAGTTAGATTAGCCAATCATCAGTTTTTAACTTGCTCTCCACTTACCCTCTAACCTTATTGTCATATGTCAAGTGTTCTACTGCATATTCATATTATGCAGAATTGTGCATGATACTCTTTTAATTGGCTACAGATCTTTATGGAAATAATTCAGATATGAGACTTTCAGAATCGTCATTTTGGATTCAGGTCAACTGATTCTGAATGTGCCAGACTAAACGTGACTACAAATGACAATGCAAAGAGTAGGATAGATAAAATCAAATGGACAGCTTATCAGTATAGAAAAAGTTCCTTCCTGGTTTATTGAATAGGCTGCAAGATTTACTTACTGCAGTTTTCTTCATCTGAATTATCACCACAGTCATTTTGGCTGTCACATCTCCAGTGATCTGGAATACAGTTGTTGTTTTTGCACTGGAATTCATGAGGCCCACAAGTCTTTTTATCTGCAATGAAGATGCCACCATTTGCATCAATGTATTCCATAAAGGCAGAACTTAAAAGATTGCTACTAAAAGGGGTGGGATAATAATATTCCAAGATATATGTCAAATTAAGGAACCCTTACATTTTAAGTGGTACTTATCTACCAAAGACAAAGAACTATTTTACAAGGCAGCCCCATTGCAACTCTATTCTATTGAATTCTATTCCATACACATTCTTATACCACACTTATCAGTAGTGCAGTCAGCAACATGACTACACATGTCACATTTCTCAAGATTATATTGACCCATGACCAAAGCAACACTAATTATCATAAAATAAATAAAAATGTTAAGTAGTGTTTTTGTAGCCATACCAAGTCCCAAGATATTAGAAAGACAAAGTGGACAAATATCTTTTATTGGACCGACTTCTGTTGGTGAGAGGGCTCAAAGACTTTTTTCTCTCACCAACAGAAATTTGTCCAATAAAAATATTACCTCACCCACGATATCTAATAAAAAAGAATTCTCAGCTTTCAGTTTGGATTTTGATAGAGGAAAACGAAGACATTTTTAATTGATAAGTGGCTGTTCTGAAGCTTTTTTGAACTGAAGTAATGTGAGAAGTTGTATTCCTGATAACATTTCAAATAAAAAAATAAAACCATGAGGTATAAACGCCACAGTATCCCACTGTTGCTAATGGCAGAAATTGTGAAATTGTGCAAAATTCAGAAGTGATGTGTATGTTAGCGTGAAGGGGGTCTAACTTGGACTCTCTTAGAGCTATTTATTCCCATTATATTGATGGGTCATGGACTGTAAGTTGGTACAAATTACACAGAGGAGTAGGATGATGTAAGAAAGTATTTATTAATATGATGAACAGCACTGGTCCTAGTACAGACCCCTGGGGGACATCACTATTTACCTCTCTCCATTCTCACCATTAATTCCTACCTTTTGTTTTCTATCTTTTAACAGGAGTGCCTGGCAATGCTTTCAGGATCATCTAATGATCCCTAATTTAATTTAATGACAAGCCTTTAGTTATCTTAATCACCCTGCCTCTGTTTATAAAAAAAATTCTCTGCCCCAAAGGCAGAAGCTGGGAGCAGCACATCACTAGGGTTCTGTGTTTGTCACAGAGGTTGTGGAACTCACGGATCATGTGACTTCCTGTGACCTCCGTAACTTCTGCAGCAGCCAGTGCTCAGGTGGCTCTGGGGACAGCCACATCAGCCGTTGCTGGAGTGACTTCACAGACAGATGCTTGGGTGGCCCTGCAGCCAGCCGCACCAGGCCCCTCTCCCTACAGCTGGTGCCACGGGTCGTCCAGGGCTTCCTCACAGCTGCTGGTGCCACAGGTTCCCCCCTCCAGACAGCGCCCCTCCCCCAGATCCAATCAGGTGTATAGAATCGTAGAATATTAGGGTTGGAAGAGACCTCAGGAGGTCATCTAGTCCAATCCCCTGCTCAAAGCAGGACCAACACCAACTAAATCATCCCAGCCTGGGCTTTGTCTAGCTGGGCCTTAAAAACCTCTAAGGATGGAGATTCTACCACCTCCCTAGGTAACCCAATCCAATTCACCACCTTCCTAGTGAAATAGTGTTTCCTAAGATCCAACCTAGACTTCCCCCACTGCAACCTGAGACCATTGCTTCTTGTTCTGTTATCTGCCACCACTGAGAACTGCCTAGCTCCATCCTCTTTGGAACCCAAGCTTTCAGGTAGTTGAAGGCTGCTATCAAATCCCCTCTCACTCTTCTCTTCTGCAGACTAAATAACCCCATTTCTCTCAGCCTTTCCTCCTAAATCATGTGCCCCAGCCCCATAATCATTTTTGTTGCCCTCCGCTGGACTCCCTCCAATTTGTCCACATCCCTTCTGTAGTGGGGGGACCAAAACTGGACACAGTACTCCAGGTGTGGCCTCACCTGTGCCGAATAGAGGGGAATAATCACTTCCCTCCATCTGCTGGCAACGCTCCTACTAATACAGCCCAATATGCCGTTGGCCTTCTTGGCAACAAGGGCACACTGCTGACTCATATCCAGCTTCTCATCCACTGTAATCCCCATCTTTTCGGCAGAACTGCTGCTTAGGCAGTCGGTCCTGAGCCTGTTGTGGTGCATGGGATTCTTCCTTCCTAAGTGCAGGACTCTGCACTTGTCCTTGTTGAACCTCAACAGATTCCTTTTGTCCCAATCCTCCAATTATTCTAGGTCACTCGCACCCAAACCCTACCCTCCAGCATACTGACATTTCCCCACAGCTTAGTGTCATCTGCAAACTTGCTGAGGGTGCAATTTATCCCATCATCCAGATCATTAATAAAGATATTGAACTAAACTGGCCCCAGGACCAACCCCTGGGCACTCCGCTTGATACCGGCTGCCAACTATACATCGAGCAGTTGATCACTACCCGTTGAGCCTGACAATCTAGCTAGCTTTCTATCCACCTTATAGTTCATTCATCCAATCCATACTTCTTTAACTTGCTGGCAAGAATACTGTGGGAGATTGTAACAAAAGCTTTGCTAAAGTCAATATATATCATATCCACCGCTTTTCCCATATCCACAGAGCCTGTTACCACATCATAGAAGACAATCAGGTTGGTCAGGCATGACTTGACTTTGATGAATCCATGTTGACTGTTTTTGATCACCTTCCTCTCCTCCAAGTGCTTCAGAATGGATTCCTTTAGGACCTGGTTCATAATTTTGCCGGGACTGAAGTAAGGCTGACAGGTCTGTAGTTTCCCGGGTTCTTTTTCTTTCCCTTTTAAAATATGGGCACTATATTTTCCTTTTTCCAATTGTCCAGGACCTCCCCTCAGTCACCACGAATTTTCAGACATAATGGCAAATGGCTCTGCAATCACATCAGCCAACTCCCTCAGCACCCTTGGATGCATTAGATCTGGACCCATGGAATTGTGCATGTCCCACTTTTCTAAATAGTCCTTAACCTGTTCTTTCACCACTGAGGGCTGCTCATTTCCTCTCCATACTGTGTTGCCCAGTGCAGCATTATGGATATTTATGATACTCACGTGCCGTAATTTTTTGTTTCTTGCCTGTGACCTGTCCATGACTTTTACTAAAAATACTCATGGTTAAATCATAGCCTTACTCATCGCATATCACACTCAAGCTGTGTTGCAGTTAAGAGCTCCGTCTAGGGTAGGGTATGTACTGTGAACAGACCTCAAATATGAAACCTGGGGGGATGGGAGGGGCTAGAGCCCTCCCCCACATGGGACCCCTGACTAAACTATAGGCATATTTATGCAACAGAGTACAAAGTGATATATTGGGCAATGGGTGTGTTTACACTTATAATGCTACAATTAATTGGAGCTATACCCACAAATCTAGTGAAAAACGTAGCGTTTTCCCACACTTTTGATTTAATTACTCACTGCATCAGAGACAGGATGTTTGCAGTATATAAAACCCAAATGAAATTAGTTTTCTTCAGTCAGCACGTAGGATTTTGAAACAAGCATTTACACTCACAACATCTGATTATGGATAAAGCCTTTTGCGGACGCATGAGCAGTTCTGAACAGCAGCAGCACTTTTCCCAGAGGATGCAGCTATTTTTGTGTTTCATTTGCATTTTGATTTTTTTTCTGTTGTACTTTATTCTTTCAGGTTCAAGGGAGATAGGGGGAAATGATAGAGAGCCTTGCAAAGTAAAAAAAAATTACCAGTGGCATATTTTCTTTGCATAAAAGTACATCTCTAATAAGTTTGTTTTATAAAAGCCACAATGACATTTTTAAAATTACATGTCAGTGCAACAGAATTCAGAGACTGCATTTGATGTGCCCCAAACAGCTGTTTGCCGTGCTTGTGCTTCAAGCCCGGCTTTGTGCAAACCTAGGAGTTAGAATGAGATATCAAAATAATTTTTGAATGTGCTTTACCATGAGTATGTATCCTGGTCTCTCATCGTCTTTACCTTTAAAAATCTTCACCACCTTGACAGGCCCTACCTAGCTGATCCAGTAACTTATTGCTGCAGTGCTCACTCCTGCCTTTGCTCCAATATTCCCAGCCATTTCTACCCACTAGTTCACTTCTCCACTTTCTCCCATGCTGCTTCTTGCACATGGGAAAACTCACTGATAAAATCCATATACCCATTAGCTTACTTTTTCAAAGCTCTCTTTAAGACTCCCTCTGCCACGATTTGTACAAAATCCTTGACGATGATCATGATGAATTATGACGACATTTTATACACACACAGGCTCCAACTTGTCCTCAAATAACCGCCCCCGCCCCCACCCCCACGAAACATGTAACTAACAAAACTGTGGCAACTACTGATTCTCATCTTTCTTTTTTTTTTCTTTCTGTTAAACAACAATACAAGACAGCCATACAAAAAGCTGTAGGTACCCCGAAGAATATTACAATTAAAATAATGACCATCCAACAGCAAAAAAATATATAATTCATTTATCAGGACACTAAATCTAAGCAGCAACGCAGGTCCTTTAAGTTCCACAACCCCAGAAACAAACCTTCTGCTTTCACAAAAGACCATGAATAATAAATAGCTTTTAGAGAGTACATGATACATTCCCACTCTCGACTCTTAGTCTGTCTGTGTCTTTTAGATCAGTGGTTCTCAGCCAGGGATATACATACCCCTGGGGTTACCCAGAGGTCTTCCAGGGAGTATTTCAAGTCATCTAGATATTTGCCTAATTTTAAAACAGACTACATACAAATTACTAACTAATTCAGTACAAACTAAAATTTCATACAGACAATGATTTGTTTATACTGCTCTATATACTATACACTGAAATGTAAGCACAATATTTATATTCCAGTTGATTTAATCATATGGTAAAAATGAGAAAGTAAGCAATCTTCAGTAACAGCGTGCTGTGACACTTTTGTATTTTTATGTCTGATTTTGTAAGCAAGTAGTTTTTAAGTGAGACGAAACTTGGGGTGCACAAGATAAATCAGACTCCTGAAAGGG